TAAGATAAATTTATTTTTAATTTTTAAAATTTTAAATTAATATTTTTAATTTCAGTAATTTTTAGAATTTTTTCTAATTTTTATATTTAAATTTTATTAGAGAATTTGTGAAATAGTATATATAAAATCTACCAACTTATTTCTTTGTTGATAAAAATATTATATTAAATCTATTAATATTATATAATTGTATCATTTTTAAATATGTTATGAATGATTTGAGGAATTAAAATAAGATTTTTAAAAAATATAAAAATTAAAAATAATAATTTTAAATTTAAGAGATTAAAAGTAAATTTATTTGAAGAATTAAAAACATATAATTTTTAATAAATTTTAATTAATAAAAATGTATTGAAAAAGTGTCTTGTATGATATGTCAGTCCATGTAAGTTTTTCTCTTTCCTAATTTGCTTCATCGTTTGATGTTTGCTTTCATTTATATGTAACGTGCTATATTTGTGAAGTCTAACGGTTTTATTATTGCAAAACATCAAAGTGAAATTTCGATTATAAACGAACAACAGTATAAACAATCCTTAAAAACCGGTTCTTTGACTTATTCGTGAAAGTAATTATGTACTTTAAGATGACTGGTTTAATTTTTATAGTTTGATTATTCTCATTTTCACTTACATTGTGATTGGTGAAGTGATTTAATAAGAAATTGAGAGGAGGCAAGAGATTAGCATAGATTTTTAAAATATTGTGTTTTTGGGAGAGGATTTGCAAAGAATTGTGTGTGAGTATCATAGATGAGTTTCTTACTCTTTAATTGCAGGGATTCATGCAAAAATATAACACTTGATGATGAAACTAATTTCACACTCCTATGACAAACTATATGTTATTTCCTCCCATAATCAACTATGTTGGTTTATAATCTATTATCATAGGATTCTAATACTGTTATTTGTGTATATAGAGTTCATCATACTCAATGTCAACTAGTATAGTTGCTTACACTAATAAATCATATAAAAAAATTAAATACTATATGTGAACATAAATAAAATTATAATTGTTAATATTATTTATTTTTACATAAATTTTAACTATATAAAATATAATTTTAAAATACTCATTTTTCTAATTTTTATTTGATTTTATTCTATTAAATAATTACAAATTTTATTTTATTTTTACATATTTTATATTAAATCATTTCTCACTTATTCTCTCATATTTTCTATTATTCATTTCCTCTAAAGAACACGTTAGGGAAGTTAGAGATCCCCTCGAAGAAATTTTTTTCCCAAGTTTTACCTTTATTATTTATTATTTTATTATTGTTGGCTTTGGCTTGACGATTTTTTATGTTCACTAGGAATGACAAACATACCCGTACCGGCAGGTAATATCCGAACTCGTCCCGACTTTAATGGGAAATACTCAGTTTGACCAGGTACAGGTACGGGTATGGGTAAAACTCGATATATTAAATCAGGTACGGGTACAAGTACGGGTATGTACTTACCCGCCCGTACCCGTGCCCGTACCCGTCCCGTTCTCATTTTTAATTTAATACTCATTTTCAATTTAATATGTTGAGGAATATGAAATGAAATCACAATTACAATAAATAATGAAAAGCAGCGAGGGACGACAAGATGAAACTAGCATGCAAAAGGTCATTAGAAAGTGCATAGATTTGTTGGCATATATCTTCATGTGTTGATAGCATCCAAAGCTAAGATGGTGCTGAGGTTCATTGGGTTCATGTAGGTTCTAGAGCCTGACATGATTTCCTCCGCAATGAGCCTGTTGGCCTTTTCAGAAGGATGGAATGCATCCCAAAATGCATACAAGTCTCTGTTAGGACAAAGGTTGGAGAGTGGTGTGCACAACCCTAGACCATTGTAAGGTCCTTGCCCACAACATGCTACTTTTGATGTAACAAAACCAAATTGTTGAGGGTTACTAATGAAGTTGTTGTGCATTTTTCCTGTGTTTGCAGCAATGAAAACGTCACTTCCAATTTTCCTGTTGAGTTGTAGTAACATTTGTTCAAGTTGTGGGTTAAACAATCCTGCAGCTCTTTGAAGGTCAGGAGCACATTGTCCATTTCTGCCACGTTGGGCCAATTCTGAAGGAACACAACCCAATGGTCCTGTGCCTGTCACAAGAACTCTACGAGCTCCAAGATCATATAGCCTCTGCATGCAATTGCAACATTTATATGAAAAATTAAAATAATATTATGATCTCAACTCTCAAGTCAACACATTAAGTATTGATTAACAAATAAAATATGTTACCTGCAAAAGCTTTTGGTATTCAGAGATGAGATACTTGACATATTGAGGCAGTGGGTATTGGCGAGACCTTGCTGAATTTGGCACCAAGTAGTAGTTGTTTACGAAATCATTGCCACCACAAGTGATGAGAACCAGTGCTCGATTCACCAGACTCTTTGCCTCTGAAGCTCCAATTATAGCACTCACTCTTCTTTGGTACTCTTGAAAATACTCTAGCTGTCTATACAT